AAACCAAATTTTTCTAGAAATGAGATTCTATTGGTTAGTGAATGTCAATAATGTTGACTATAGGATAGCTAGATTTATGACTACTGTTCTCCATCCAAAAAGAAATGAAGCTTGTTAATTCTAGAGAGAGAATTGCCATATCATAGTGGGGTTCCAGAGTTGGGTTACTGAGGTTACATTTCAGCTCTGTCACTCAACTATATACTGTGTGTGTTTAGTCAATCTAATATTACTACTGCTGCTGCTGAGTCTCTTTATTCGTGTCTGACTCTTGGCGACCTCATAGACTGCAGTCCATCAAGCTTCTCTGTCCATGGGATTCTCCAGGCAAGAATACTGGAGTAGGTTGCCATGCCCTCATCCAGGGGATCTTCCTGACCCAGGGATTGAGTCCGCATCTCTTATGTCTCCTGCATTGGCAGGTGGGTTCTTCACCACTAGTGCCACCTGGGAAGCCCCAAAACTAGTATTTGGCACTCTTAAATTTAAAAAGAATGGTCAAGGGTTAATTTCAATATTACCAATTTGTCATTACTTATCCTTGGAACATCCTCAGGAAAATAAAACAAAAATTCCTAGTACACACAAAATTTATTTGTGAGAAAATGAAAATCTGAAATGCCATGTTACACCAACACAGAGAACGCTAACTATAAAATTTGTCTTCCATGGATAAAAATCATAAGGCTTCCAAAGAAGCATAGGTATTACTCAAAAGGATATATACACAGCTGCTCAAAAGACTTTATATCCTAAAGCTACATAATTTTTAAGTTATTTGCAGGGGAACAGTGAAACAAATCAATCTGATTTGTGAAAAGTCAGAATTCCTCGTGTGAAACATTGAAATTCAAAGAAAAGATCAAAAAATAACACAGGCACACAAGGAAAACCAGCTTGGTGACTAGAACATCAAAACATTAAAATGTCAAAAAATAATCAAAACAAGGAAATAACAAGGGTAAAACTAATAGGCTTCCTTCACTGGAATCTAGTTACAGATCTTTAAAGTGGCATATCTGATTGACAGAAGTCACAAAATGGCAACTTATAGGTCAAGCCATTTGCAGAAATGTTCTGTTTGATAGCAGAGCTATTTTTTAAGTTATAAAATCACATATCTTTTTCAGAATCCATTTTTTTTCTTCTGTTTTCTCTTAAAAAAAAAAAAAAGAACCAGCAATGAGCTGGAGCTCAGTAATGGCTGCCCTCATTGTATAAGGTTTTCTAGTTTGCACTGGTTTTACTCACCTTATTTTTATTCCTTTATAATATATTACCAGGCTGCCATCTATAGTCAAGTGAGTTTTGACAAACTCTTGTTAGTGTTAGTTGCTCAGTCGTGTCTGACTCTTTGCCAGACACATGGACTGTAGCCCACCAGGCTCGTCTGTCCACAGAAATCTCCAGGCAAGAATACTGGAGTGGATTGCCATTTCCTACACCAGGGAATCTTCCCTACTCAGGGATCGAACCCAGGTCTCCAGCACTGCGGGCAGATTCTTTACCATCTAAGTCAACAGGGCTGGGACAAAGTGAAAGTGTTAGTTGCACCCGACTCTTTTTGACCCCATGGACGGTAGCCCACCAGGCTTCTCTGTCCATGGAATTCTCCAGGCAAGAATGTTGGAGTGGTAGCTATTCCCTTCTCTAGGGGATCTTCCTGACCCAGGGATCAAACCTGGGTCTCCTGCACAGCAGGCAGATTCTTTACCGTCTGGGCCACCAGGGGAGCAACTAGTAGATAAGCCCTTATCCACCATCAGACTAATTCAAGTCATGAAATGGATCAATTGAAGACAGGTCATGAAAGTGATCAACTGCAGAAAGGATTGCAAGACTGAACATCATTAGGGAGCTTCATTTGTTCACTCACTCATTCGTTCATTCAACAAGCATACATTGAGTTGAAAAGTGTCAGATACTGAGCTCAAATAAGAATATAAGCATTTGGGATTTCTTTTCATCAAGAAAATAGGCAGTCATAGATCTGGATGTATAAAAACATGTATGTCATAGAGAGAACTGAGGATAAAACAATGGTGAATTTTAGGAAATGAAATGAGAAATTCTAAAAAGTGCTAACAATTTGCTAATAATTGCAGGGCTCTCAAAGGATAAGAACTCCAAAGAAGGAGGGGGTGGTCAACAGTGTAAAAGTATGGCTGAGCAGTGAAGTATGGCTGAGTAAAGGAAGATAGAAAAGAAAAATCATTCTAAGATATAAGTAGCACATTCCTGACAATTAAGAGGACATAGGTAGAGAAGGCGGAGAAGGCAATGGCACCCCACTCCAGTACTCTTGCCTGGAGAATCCCATGGACGGAGGAGCCTGGTAGGCTGCAGTCCATGGGGTCGCTAAGAGTTGGACATGCCTGAGTGACTTCACTTTCCCTTTTCACTTTCATGCACTGGAGAAGGAAATGGCCACCCACTCCAGTGTTCTTGCCTGGAGAATCCCAGAGACAGGGGAGCCTGATCAGCTGCCATTTATGGGATTACACAGAGTCAGACATGACTGAAGTGACTTAGCAGCAGCAGCAGCAGGTAGAGAAGGCAGATAAAGCCAGGTTGAGTGGTGAGAAAATGAGAGTAAAGGGCATGAAAAAGAGCTGAGGATAGGTTGGAGGGTAGGTGTAATGGGAAATGATGGAGTGGGGTAAGTGAGATGGCTAGTGAAGAGGACTGAATATGTGCAGAGACAGATTTGGCACCAGACAGTTCATAAGAACAATCACATGCTAGAATGAATTCCATCTAGATGGAATCAGTCAGTCAGTTCAGTCACTCAGTCGGGTCTGACTCTTTGCGACCCCATGGACTGCAGCACACCAGGCTTCCCTGTCCATCATCAACTCCCAGAGCTTACTCAAACTCATCTGCATCGAGTTAGAGATGCCATCCAACCATTTCATCCTCTGTTGTCCCCTTCTCTTCCTGCCTTCAATCTTTCCCAGAATCAGGGTCTTTTCCAATGAGTCAGTTCTTTGCATCAGGTTGTCAAAGTATTGGAGTTTCAGCTTCCACATCAGTCCTTGCAGTGAATATTCAGGACTGATCTCCTTTAGGATAGACTGGTTGGATCTCCTCGCAGTCCAAGGGACTCTCAAGGGTCTTTTCCAACACCACAGTTCAAAAGCATCAATTCTTCGGCACTCAGCTCTCTTTATAGTCCAACTCTCACATCCATACATGACTACTGGAAAAACCATAGCTTTGACTAGATGGAACTTGTTGGCAAAGTAATGTCTCTGCTTTTTAATATGCTGTCTAGATTGGTCATAGCTTTTCTTTCAAGGAGTAAGCATCTTTTAATTTCATGGCTGCAGTCACTATCTGCAGTGATTTTGGAGCTGCCCAGATGGACTACCATTAACTTAAATTTTGATATCAGAACAAAATTTTGTAACTTTTCTGTAAACCATATCCCCAATTTTACTTCTTGAGACACATTCTGGAAAGGTGTTTTCGCTCTAAAACTTTCTTTAGTTTGCACCAAAATTCACTGACAATAATTTACAAGAGAAAATCTGTCAATTATCAGTTATGTTTTATTTTCTGGTATTTCACTTGTGATCTCAATCAGAAATGATAGAAATGTTTCTATTTCTTTGCCTCTGCTTGAAATGGACATTTTCCACAGAGGTATTTAATCTTGGACCAATGAAATCAGGTAATATTATTCTTGAGAATCCTCTATATATAATAATAATCAAGAGAAAGCAAGATTAAAGTACAAATGGTATTTTTTTTTCAGTTTATACTAGGATGATGATATCTATTGCCTTCCTTTGTATATTCACATTGAATATAGTAGTTCTTTCAACTTTGCCATTGGAAATATCTAATGGCAAGTATCTGTTCATCAAATAGGGATCAAACAGTCTCAGTAAAGAAAAAAGAAAATCAAATGCATTTAATTCTTAATTTTCATAAGGTAATGTGCCCTGAGTAAGATGATTTATCAGGATCTGTTTCAGTTCTATAGCTGTGAAATGGTAAGAGAGAAAATAAAACCTGCCGACTGAGTATGGTTTTAAAAATAAAAACTCCTGAATACTTTTTAGCAAAATGTTTATAATGCAATCTCTTAAACAAAGGCATAATTTGAAATGGAAGCAAACCTGACTGTTCCAAATATTTTAGGAATTGTCCTATTGCTATCTCTTTAGTATACACACCTGCACCTTGAATTTGATACAAAAATAAATGTTTATTGGTTATTAGTTATTCAAATGGCTTATATAATTTGAAAAGTCTCATAGATAGATAGATAAATAGACAGATAACTGAGATGTGCTGCTTACTGGGAAACATTGGTAGGTATTTGTCTTTTTGTCATGCATTCTGTAAGATGAATGGTACAAAGTCAACTGGGTTTTTCTTCAGTTGTATATGGGGAGACATTCCAAATGCTCGCTGTTGAGTTTACAAGTAGAATTTCAGTGCCCCTGCAGTCACACTTTTAAAAGTCCAGCCTTTCAAGCCCATCCACAGTGAAGGAGGATATTCATTACCTTCCCTTTCACCTCCTCCTCCACCTCCACGACCAGAGCCAGAGATGACAACCACCACCCAGAACCCCAGAGGTGAACCGCAGAAGGCTTCATTGCCTTCTGATGTATTGCCTGTACAGTCAGGTTTAGGGATTTCAAAATTCTCAACCAGTCATCTTCCTATATGACTTCAAGTAAAACCGTCAAACATAATAGTCTTTGCAGAGACTTCTCCCGCTCTTTAAAGTCTTTATAGAGATTACAATTGAGGAGAATTGTTATCAAATCAAATGAAATAAAATAATTTATTACATAAGTTAACCATCAATTCCAAAGCCTACCCAAACAGATTCTAAGTTCAGCTGGAAATGGATAAAATTGGATCATCAAAGGTCTGTGTCTGATGGTAGAATAAGAACTAAATACCCATTATGTTAGAAGTTCAATATGTAAAACATTTATGTAGCACTCAACCAAAAACTTTGTAACATGTAATCTACTCACCCCTGCAAGGCTTTCTCTCCAAACCAATCTCCTTTTCCTAAGGTTCTAAGAAAGACTGGGTCTTCATTTGGCGAGTCTTCACGAGTGACATTAACCTAGAAAGAGAAACAATGAAAGCCTATATCCACTGCATACATACTGGATGATCAAATAAACACTAGTTAATGATGTTCACATCATTTCTTATTTTTTAAATTTATTTGTATGAAGAGAAAAAGTACATTATCACTAGAGGGGACAAAGAATAGTATCACAAATTCCCACGCACCCCAAGAAATGACCCCCAAATATTTTGTTATACTTTGAAGCTTTTGTCCAGAAATAATAAATTATTCAGAAATGTGAATTTCACTCAAATCCTCATCGCTCTTCCCATTTCCAACTTTCTATGAAGCAATTACTATGATGAATTTAATGAGTGCTCCTTCAGTTTTTTATATGTGTTTATATGCATGTGTTTTTAAAATATATGAATAGCATAATACAGTAGGGATCACTCTGCATTTACACTTTTCTCTTAACGTTTTAATTTTTCATACCATGCTACTATATGTATAAATCTAGTTCATTCATTTTAATGTTGTAGTGTCTTCTTTCATCCCATATTTATTTATCAGCTGCCTTGTAGATGTACATTTATACTGTCTCCATTTTTTTGACTTTTTTAACATACACCTTTACGTGTACATCCCAGTTTCTCTAGGATAGGCTTATCGTTTTGCTAAGAAGAATCCTTCATTAGGATTCATTCAAAGCCTCATTCAAAGGCCAATTACATTTTCATAAAGACTTCCTACAGGTCTCTACCTTTCTGTCATTCTCATGATCTCTGTTTCATTCAGTAAGATTTCTTTTTTGAAGATATATAAATGACATATATGTCTTTATTTTACCATAATAAATAGTATGCTAATCAAAGAAATGAGTATTTCTTGGCATTCTCTATAATTTATAGTTAGCACTCAATAAAAACCAGTTAATTACATGAACAGAAAAGCTTCATTACTATTATAACAAAATTTCCCTACCCATATAGGACTCGGGAAGCAAATGTTGCATGAATGAAGTCCATGGAAAGCCAATGTATTTGTTGCACGAATGAAGACATAAATGCAGTAAATTGTACCTTTGTGTTAATTCACTTCCCTCTGCTGCTGCTGCTAAGTCACTTCAGTCGTGTCCAACTCTGTGTGATCCCATAGACGGCAGCCCACCAGGCTCCCGTCCCTGGGATCCTCCAGGCAAGAGTACTAGAGAGGGTTGCCATTTCCTTCTCCAGTGCATGAAAGCGAAAAGTGAAAGTGAAGTCGCTCAGTCATGTCTGACTCTTCGCAACCCCATGGACTGTAGCCCACCAGGCTCCTCCGTCCATGGGATCTTCCAGGCAAGAGTACTGGAGTGGGGTGCCATTGCCTTCTCCTCACTTCCCTCTAAAGCTCTACAAATATTCATAATACTGGCTATGTGTCAAAGAAAGGTTAAATAGTTAAAATTCACCTTCCTGAAAAATGTAATGAAGTAGAAAAACTAATTTCTTGAGACAATGACAGACACTTAAACACATTTAAAAATACTATGCTTCAGGTTTTTTAATTTAGAGATTGGATGCCAAAGACCAGAATTTTTATAAGTATTAAGAAGGTCTATGCAAGGTGGAGGGAATTCAATTATTATTCTCCACTGATCCATTTGATTACTCCTCCATAAGGTGTTTCAAAACCATGGGAATGCAGGTTTTAACACTTACCACTAAGCTGTATCAGAGAGAGATTCATTTGCACACTAATGAGGATTTCATGGGTGTAACTGGAAATAAACTGGCCTAGTGGTACTCAGGCTTCTCTGTGTGTGTGTCTGTGTGTGTTGGAGGGTGGTGGTCTTGCTTAAAATAAAGGTTGCCGAACTCACTCGGCTCTTACTCCTGAGGTTCTGAATGAATGGGTTTTGTAAATCTGCATTTCAAAAGATTAGTGTTTGACAAACATTGATACACTGCTTCATTTCTGAACCTCAGCTTTCTCTTCACAATGAAACAACTCAGAAAAATCATTTCTGTCAATCCTCCTGGTTGTTAAAAATAAGTCATGAACTAAGGTGCAATATAACATAAGTTAAGCTCATTAATTCAAATTAGATATAAGAACACCTATAACTGTATATTTACCATTTGGGTAACACAGATGATAATAAAGTCAAATTGGCAGACTTATGCAAGCCATGGAGAAATTTCAGTGAGTTTTGAAATGTTCTTTAAAAACATGTTAACTGAGGATTTTCCTGGGTGGTCCAGTGGTTAAGAATCTGCCTCCCAATGCACAGGAAATGGGTTCTATCCCTGATCTAAGGAGATCCGACATGCTGCAAGGCAGCTAAGCCCCAGCGCCAAAACTGTGTACCCCAGAAGCCTTGCTCTGCAGCAAGAAAAGCCACCGCAATGAGAAGCCTGTGCACTCCAACTAGAGAATGTCCCACCTGCAGTGTATAAGTTCCTGCTCACTGCAACTAGAGATAGCCTACACACAGCGATAAAGATCCAGTGCAGCCAAAAAAAAAAAAAAACCCACAAAACACGTTACTGAAATGCTAGAGATGTAAAAATTGGTTCACCTATAGAATAAACCACTTTCTGCTTCTATGATAAATATGAGAAAAATCTATCTCCTTACAGTTCATATATGTGGAAAAAAAATAAGCATCTCAAAGAGCAAGAATAAAAGTTTTCCTTTAAAGTTGTAGCTTCCACAGTTTTTCTTTGTATATATAGTGTGCTGTGCTGTGTGCTTATTCGCTCAGTCACGTCTGACTCTTTGCAACCCCAAGGACTGTAGCCTGCCAGGTAGCTCCTCTGTCCATGGGGATTCTCCAGGTAAGAATACTGGAATGGGCTGCCATGCCCTCTTCCAGGGGATCTTCCCAACCCAGGGATGGAACCCAGGTCTCCCGCATTGCAGGGGGATTCTTTACCAGCTGACACCAGTTTGCAGACACCAGTTATGAACATTTGCATCTTTAATTCTTAAAAACAAAAACACAATCCGAGGTAGAAAAAGTTATATTATACAGAGATAGCTTTCTAACCTTGATCCGTATATGTAGTCTTTTTACCTAAACTACAAAGTACTTTATGGTCCACAAAACTGTAGAAGGGAGCTAGTTAGGGAGTTTCAGAGATATTTAGTCTATTTGAACCACCTTGCCCTCTAAATGAGAGAGTTATCTCATTTGAATGTGTTTGTGCTGTGTGTTACTAAATGAGAGCATCAATGAAGAGCATCCTAACTGTTAGTGCCCCCCAAAGTTGGTTCTTTTCCCCTTATTTTCCCCTTTGTTCCATTTCTCTCATTTATTTCAGAAATTCCATGCTTTTGATTGTAATTATCCCATATCTCTACTATTGCTCTTATTGCCATGAAGTGCTTTTTAGAACAAAATCACTTTTAGTTCCAGGTAGATAAAAGAGGTATATATTTTTATAATCCCTTTACTTATCTATATATTAATTTTTCTATAAAACATATGCAAAGTCTTATAATTTAAAATTTTGGAGCATTTAAAAAATTATGTATAAAATTTTTAAATTAGGAATCAAAATAGAAATTAGATATTTTAAATGGGACACATAAATTTAAACTTAAAATCCAAAATCTTTTATTCATTGAAGAATGAATACAGAATAAAGAATGAATACAATAATATCAGTGTATTCAACCAACATGTTTAATCAAAAACAACAACAAAAATGTTTTTGTACAGATTCAGCAGGTTTTATAAGCAAAACAATGTTTATTGTAAAGAAATATGGAAATCAGAGATATGTGGGGGCAGACCCAGCTGGAAAACAGGGTTAAGTAAACATTTTCCTACCTGTTTGATTAATACAATATAAGAATGAGGAGTTCTCAAATCAAAGCAACTCCCTTTTCAAGTAATGTTCTGCACATATTGCTAAAAAACTGGTCCTATTATACCCAAAAAGTGTTCCCTAATGTAAAAAACAAGCAAACAAAAAAAACCAAAACACTTTTAAGAGGAATATCTGATCATCTAGGGCATATACAAGGAAATAAACTTTTTCTGAGCTTGAAGCTTGCCTGCATCACTTGAGTCATTAGTTAAATTCAGTTGGGTAAGATCTATGACTTCCATGAGTCTGACTGACAACTGAATCTTTTGTGCAATACAGGCATGAATCAGAATCTCATTCACTATATGCCCACCCTCTCCCACAAATGTCTCTGGTGAAACTTATGTTCATGATTCTATTTCTGGTACTTCTAATTTAGTGAGTGTCTGTACATGTACTCACATGCACCTCATTCCATGCAAAAATACCATATGTTTACTTGGCTTTAAACTTAATATAAATATCATGCCACACATATCCTTCAACTTGTTTCTTTTGATCAGCATTGTATTTGACTTATCCAATTCATCCATGTTAATATATGTGGCTGTAGTTTATTTCCTGTTTGTATAGTATGCCATTATATGAATATTATATAATTTATTAATTCTTATATATATGTGAGTTTTTTCAGGTTTATTGTTGCTATATTTTAGTTTTGCACTATTAACAACATTACTCATGAATATTTTTGCATGTCTTGTGGTAGGCATGGGTAAGTGTTTCATTAGGGTCACTACTTAATGAATGAAGAACAAGGTTATAAAGTACATGCATCTTCTCTTTCATTAGGTATTGACTAGTCTTGGTACAAAGAAGTCACAACAACTTATTAATGCATTTCTACCATCAGTGAATGAAAGTTCATTTTGTACTACATTGTCATCAACACTTGTTGCTTTCATTATTCTACAGCCATTAGTATTTTTTGTGATGTATCTGATTATGATTTTTGCTGATTTTTCCATTGAACTGATTGTTATTTTTATTGATTCATAAGACTGTACTTTATCTTTTTATTGTGTTTATGATGCTTCACACCAAAGTTATTAATTTAAATGTGAACATATTTAACCACATTATTCCTATTGATTATGCTTTAGAATTCTCATTTAAGAATTTCTTCCCTATCCAAACTTGATAGAGATATTCCCCACATTGTCTTTTGTTTTTTTCTATTTTTTTCTTTTA